GACCTACAAAGTCACAACATCACCCTCGAGAGGTTTGTACAGGGAAAAGTAAACTGGAAAATGATACACCAGTACAATCTGTCACTGATTGGAGATAGAGGCAAAAATTCATGAGATTAAATCTTAAGAAAACATAAGGTATGTGGGATAATTCACCATGTGAGACATTTGCACAGTAAAGTCCAGGGTTCTAGGGAGGGAGAAACCACAGAGCAGTAATAGTGGTACCTGTCTGTCCCCTTCCCCCTCCCCACCTCTCTCATCCCATCACCCCCTCAGGAAAAGGTATGCAGGATTCTTTCTTTGGGCCTCCGTCACTCTGGCCATAGCATGTACCTGAGCCTAGGGAAGCCATCAGGAGGCTCATTGGCAACAAAAACAGTGCCCAAGAGATGTCCTAAGTAGGGTGGTCACATCCACAGTTGCCTCTGGTTGTCTGCATGGTACACAGGGCACATGGACAGCAGAGTGGAGAGGACACTGTAGGATACCAACAGTGGTATTTGTTCCTCATCCATCACACAGCGCACTCCCAAGACCCTCATAACAGAAGGCAGATTCACAGGGAAAAACTTGCAAATTTATTTACTACAAGATTTATGTGAAAGGAGCCTTTGGAAATGAAGAGGCAAGAAAGAAGGAAAACTATTTTTTGGACATATTTGCAGAAGTATAATTGGAGGACAAAGAGGCATGACCTAACGGGAATTAGCAAGGCATATAGATGGAGTCTCTGTGTAAGCTTCCCTTCCTCTAGGTTGAGGGATGGCCCCTCCAGAGTAAGGGTCATATGACCTACTGTAAAGGAAGGTCAGAGAAAGGCTAAGGGAAGACGAAAGCGACCTTCCAGGTTCTGCCATTTTCTCAGATACCAAGGTGCTATATCTTGGGATACAGCCTGCCTTATCCTTGTCAATGTCAAGCTCAGTGGCAAAAAGGAAAAATAACAAGCACTGGTCATGAGGCAGCAGACTGAACCCATGAGGAAGCGCAAGTGGGAGGTGGGAAAAGCCATGGCCAATGTGTCCACCTCGCCAGCCCGAAACATGTTTCTTTTCATGAACAAATAGACTGAGCCCCTCCTGAATTCCTGATCTGTGTGTAGCCCGTTCTTGCCCCAGAAGCACACTTCCTCCTCCAGTATGTGCTGGCAGTGCCGGTGCACAGTGGCGGCTGCTCGTTTCCTCTGTCCACCAGCCGGTGCCTCCTGCATCACTCAGGACCCCTCATGCAGCACCAGGTCACCCTTCCCAGAGCCTCTCTTACTGCACACAGGGGCACAGTTCCGTTACTCCTATAAACAAAGCTTCTGTGGGACCCATATGCTTCACACCCAGTCTTGGGGGTCCTGCCTGGCCCCTCACCAGTGAGAGAACTGCAGGTCCTTCCTACATCCCATAGGTCCCTGTCCCCAGCTGCTGCGCCTTGTATTGGCCTGTCGACAATGGTCATCATGAGACAGGACAGGCAACATGCTGGTCTGCATGTGAAACACTTCCTGAGTCCAAGGCTAATTCAAAAATAGGAGTGGATATTCCTAGTTTTGCATGCGTTTAACTGAAAGGAGCCATGAACTTCCAGAAACAAAGAAGATCTGCTCCAAGGTGACTTTCTGTGGCTGCTGCTAGAAACTGCCAGCAACTGCAGTTCTTATGCTTAAAAAAAAGACAGTTTCAGTTCATCAGGCATCTGCTGCAGCACAGACAGTGGCAGCTGTAGGAAGGAGCAGAGGCTGAGTCATGGGATTGTGATGAGACCCAGGGAGGAGAAGCCCTGGCCCCGGGGCCTTCCTACATCCCGAGAGGCCTGAGAGCCAGCCCATCTCTAGGCCTACATGGGCCTCTCTTCTTCAACACCCAAAACAGCTCCACACAGGCAGTCAGGGAAGCACCTGACAGGCACCTCAATGACCAGCTAGTCTACCCCATTCATTTCACATATTGGAAACAGGCTCAAAATGCAGAGGAACTTGGCTAAAGCCACACAGCCAGACTAGACCTGCAACCCCTTGATCTACAATCTAGACTCTTCCCCTGGTCTCCAGTCCAGAGTGGCTCCAGTGCAGCTGGTGAGAGGAGAGCATGCCAGTACTGATGTCCTCTGGCCTAGGCTCTTGCAACGGAGCAGTTACCTGCAGCCCATGACGAGCCTATCGGCCGTCCATCACCAGGGCCAGTGAGGAACCAGCATCATCCAGAGCTGCCAGAGGAAGATGCTAGGCCATGGCCTCTTCTGATGAGCCTGTCTTCTCCAAGGAGCATTGCCCTGGCTGCAGGGAAGCTGTGTGGTGGGGGGAGAGGGCAGGATCCTGGAGGTGGGGCCTGAGACGAAGCTTCTTGTTTGGGGAATAAGGATTGTTGGGAAAGGCCCCGGGGTGAAAGAGCAATCAGCAAAGGGTAGGGGAAAGAAGCCGGCAATGCGGTCTGAGCTGGCGCCCAGCCTCAGTCTGGTCCCATGGGGGAAGCTGTAAACCCAAGCTGCACGGCAGAGCTCCTGACCCAGAGCACGGGGAGGGGGGAGGGAGGCTGGGGATAGTGCCCAGGCTAGGCAGCTGGGAGCCATTAGCATCAACAGCTGCTAACAGCTGGAAAACGGATGTGGGGGTGACAGTAGGGCCGGAGGGGGCAGAGCACTAAGAGCAAAGCCGATTTCCTCGCATTCTAGGACTAGGACCCAGAGAGTGAAGCTCAGGAGGTCCTAGGGGGCGGAGACAGAGAGTGGAGGAGCTGTTCCCCCTGAGCCACGCCTGCTTGCCCAGACCTGGCCCTTACCTGCTGTGCTGTGCTGTGTTCCCGACTCCAGTGAACGCTAAAGGATGGGATGGGCCCCCGGAATGTGCGCTCCAGTCCCAGGGAACAGGGATGGCCATGGCTGTTCTCTGGGTCCCTAGGAGCCTCTTGTGTCTGCACCCCACAAGCTTGCCTGAGAGAAGAACCCCATTTCATTCTTCACTTGAGGCAGTAGGGCCAATGGGTTGTGTGAACCAAACGGCCCTCCTGAAAGAGAGGCGGGCAAGGGCTGCAAAGCCAAGCTTCTCAGTGCGACGGCTTAGATAACTGCATGGGTTCTTGCTAAAGTGCAGTTTCTGGGGGCTGGGGGGGGAGCATTTGACAGCAGTTAAGACACTGGTTGGGACACCCACATCCCATGTTAGAGTCTGGGTTCCAGTTCCAACACCACTTCCTGCTAATCCACACACATTGGAAGGCGGTGGAGACAGCTCAAGTAGTTGGGTTCCTGCCACCCACATGGGAGACATGGATGGAGTTCTCAGCTCCTGAGAATTGGGACTGAACCAGTTGATGGAGATCTTTTCCCTATGTGTCTATTTCTCAGTCTCTCTGCCTCTAAAAATAAAGGTAACTTAAAAATTTTTTGAAGGGCTGGCACTGTGGCATAACAGGTAAATCCACTGCCTGCAGTGCCATATGGTCCCGGCTGCTGCTCTTCCCATCCAGCTCTCTGCTATGGCCTGGGAAAGCAGTAGAAGATGGCCCAAGTCCTTGGGCCCCCGCACCTGTGTGGGAGACCCAGAAGAAGCTCCTGGCTCCTGGCTTCTGGCTTTGGATCAGTGCAGGCAGCTCTGGCTGTGTGAGTGAACCAGTAGATGGAAGACCTTTCTGTCTCTGCCTCTGTCTCTCTGTAGTTCTACCTTCCAAATAAATGAATACATCTTTAAAAAATAAATAATTTTTTAAAATAATTTTGATATACCTTCTGCCTGGAGTCCGAGAGGGCTTGTAACTGCATTGATGACAAGCTCCCGGGTGGCCCCGACACTGTCAGTCCAGACAGCACCTCCTCTGTTGCAAGAGCGTTGGTCTCCACCTGGCATCCACCCCCACCTGTCTTCTCACCTCTGGTTTTCCTCTGGTGAACAGTTCCTCCCTCAATGCCAGACCAAGAGGAGCTGAGCCCCTTGGCAGCCGTCATGTGACCAAACTGTGTCAGAACACTGTGCTCCTGACCCCTGCAACTGGCCAGAACACAGGCAAGTGGCCCATTCTGGCCAACAAGAGGCCACGTTTCAGAGTCATGAATGAAAAGAATGGAACCGGGGAGGAAAAGGACTGAGCTGCTGCCACTGCTTCCCCTGCCGTGAGAGCTGAGCAGAGCAGAGCAGGAGCAGGGCTGGGCTCTTGTCACCTGCAAGTTGCTGCACTTCTCAGTCCCAGGAGCCAGTGACTGCCCTTTGTGACAGACACCAGCATCACTGTCCCCAGCAGAGCCAGGTTTGAAAGGCGCCATCCTTGATTTACTACCATTCAGGACCCTCCTTGGCTGACAGAGGCAATGACTGCAGCCTCAAATCCTGGCAGGAGAGCCAGGCATGAGATGAGGGTGCTGGAGTGAGCCTTGGCCAGGACTGGATCCTGGACGTCCCAATCAACAGGGGGGAGCATACATACCCAAGGCCATGGTCATGGTGGCAGGTGGACCTGACACAAAGCCACTGCACAGCACCTCCTGCTGGAGAAGGCTCGCAGGCTATGGGGCGAGGTGAATGGGCTGGTGGCTCTGAGAAGCAGCCCATGGTGCTGATGGGAAAGCCTCTGCATTGCTTGGCATCAGCACCACTTACTCAGACGCTCACTAGATTCTTGCCACCCCGTGAGGCAGAGGGGCAGATACTGTTTTCCCCATGCCATAGGTAAGAAAACCACAATCATAGGAGAGGTGTGACTGATCCAGGCCCTCTTGTTCCAAATGGACCAGCACTGGGGGCCAGGGACCCTGGCCCACCTCTCAAGGGGCAATGCGATCACACTGAAGCTCCCATGGAGGTCTGGTTGGCCTCACTGTGCTGGACTGAACAAGCAGCTGTGGCTGCAGTATGAATGCAAATCCAATGCAGGAAGCCTGCCTTAGCTCACTGCTGTGGCTTCTGGTGTGGCCGCCACCTTCCCTTGAACAAAAATCCTCAAAACAAGTGATGGAGGCTGAGGTGGAAGCCCCCACCCTGCTCCCAGCTCCGCCCCCAGTGACCACACTCACACCAATGAATGTCAAGAGAACATTTATTCTACTTGGTCAGTTCCAGCAGGTTTCAGTCACCTCCAGAAACATCCAGCCTGGACAATAATATGTTTATGCCTGTGTAGCCATGGGGGTCCCTCCTACTCCCACTGCCCCAAGTACTGGAGAACCTGAGGCCTCTGGTGTCCATTATCAATCCAGGGGAGCCAGCCAGTCCAGAGCTAGCTAATCCCCAGTGCTTTCCCCCTGTACACCTCCCACCCACCCCCCACACATGACCTCCAGCATTTGACTCATCATTAAGTAGACAAGTGTTTCCTGAGAGTTATGAGCCCAGCCCTGTGCTAGACCCAGTTGGGGTTCAAGAAGAAATGACACAGTCCCTTGGCCTCAGGGAGCTCACAGTCTAGTTGGGGACTCAAGACAAACACACACACATACACCCACAGGCAACCGGAGCTTACAGAAGACAGCACGTTCCACTGACAGTGAGACAGAGGGAGGAACATGGGCTGGGTGCTTTCAGAAGCCAGGCCCTGGTGGATAAGAAAGGATTAGTTGGGGGAGGGTGGAGGGAAACATTTTAGAGCGATACAGGGGAAGGCACAGAGGTAGAACAAGCACAGCACAGTTACAGGCAGGGAGGAGACAAGCTGAACAAAGCAGAGAAGGGTGTGTAGAGGTTTCCTCTGGCCTGGCCAAGGAGGGAGCCAGAGTGGAAGCTTGTGGGGTATAGAGTGTCTTTTCTTTCTCTGATCACCCCTCAGAATGTTCTGTTACCCCAGGGTATATGGCAGGTGGTCAGCAAGAATCTCTGAGGCAAACTGCATTGGGATACAGGACAAACAAGAACCCGGAGCAGGGATCCACAGGTTTCCCTCCCATCCCTGGGCAGCTCTGCCTCTTCGGACAGGCAGCTCATTCTGGGGAGGCAGGTGTGCACTTGTGGGCTGCCCTGCTCAGATGTGAAGGTAGAAGGCCTTACCCTGCTGCCAGTCTGGGACTCGCCCCTCTGCTTGCACTCAAGGAGCACACACACAGCTCTTCCACAGGTTTCTCTTTTTGCAAGACCACAGACACCAGGAGTGCTACTCTCTCCTCTTCTTCACCAGCCTTCCCCCACATGATAGCTTCCTGGGGCTGACCACCTGGTCAGGCAGGAGGCACTGCTCTCTGGCTATGACTGAGAGAAGCAGGATTTTTTTCTCCCCAGGGTAGACTCACACCAAACTCATGTTTTCACTACCGTCCACAGCAGTCCAGCTTCCCTGGAGACCTCACAGTGGAATCTGAGCCCAGGCCAGGAGCACAGGGTGCCACTGTGAAAACCAACAGCCAGCCACTTAGGCAGAACAAGAGACCAAACCAGGAGAGCAAAGCAGCCTGGGGTAGGGGGACCCCCCAACAAGGACTGGAGAAAGGAAGTCAGATTGCAGAAACCTGATACATTTAAAGTCTTGTAGAGCAGCTTAATGAAAAAGGTTCTCTTGCCAGGATTGTTTATTCCTGACCAAGGACAGGAGACTTGTCCAGGAGAGAAACACTAACTTGTACAGTGGCCTCAACCCAGGGCTCTGTGATTGGCAGCTAAGGAAAGAGCAGCAGGGTAAGCCCCCAGGGCTGAGGCTCCCAGCCCCTGGAGTCCACGGATGGGTTTCATTCAGGAAATCCAGGGACTCCTGAAAGTTCAGGGCATGGCTGAGTCTATGTGGGCCTGTGTGCTTTCCCCGGGAGAAGGTCCACGGCCTTGGTCAGATTCTTAAGGGGCTGCATGACCCCAAGGGTTAAGAACCACTGCTCAGAAAAGAGCAGCCCGTAGGGTGTCATGCATATCTCAGGAAGAGCCAGAGCTGCAATGACCTGCTGTGTTACCTCAGGCCAGTCACTTCCTCCCTCCGAACTTCAGCCAAGTGGTGGACCAGGCAGGAGCAGAGAAGCCAGTTCTCCACACCACAGCCCCTACAGCCACACAGGAGCTGAAGTCCACCCCCAGGCAGCCAGGTGGAGGTATGCTCTGGCTGCGACTCCCCGCAGCCCTGGGGTTCAGAGACTGCCTCCATTTCTGAGCTCCATCCAGTCACTTCTATAGGTCCCTGCAGGGCACCTCCTGAGGTAGGTCTTCTTAGGGGATGCATCCTCACGCCAGGAAGCAGCTCCAGACAGGCTCCCAGGGGACCCCAGTTCTAGTCTGTGCCAGATGTGCCTGTACGTTCTGGGTCCCAAGGTCCACCCCACCATGCATCTGTTCAGAGACAGAAGAGACGAGGGACAGGTGTAGTGCCACCCCTCAAGCTAGGAAGGAGCACTCAGCTGGTCCCGCCTAAATCTGTCCAGGGTCTGAGTGAGTCCCCTTAGCTGCTAGCAAGCACTGCAAGGATTATTAGCACCATTTACAGATATTAATTGGGCTCAGGGCATTTTGGTGTCCAGCTCCAGATGACCCAGGTCCCCGTTTAACCTCAGATTCTCCACCATCAAGCACTAGTCCACATTGTAAAAGTCTCCTAGGGCAGCAAGTCAGGGACAACTCCGAGGAGCAGCACAGCAGCCAGGAAAGGGTAGGGGCAGAGGGGAGAGACGGGTCTCCAGGACTGGGCAGGAGCTAGGCTAAGACTGCAAGTCCTCTCAGTGCCCAACTTCCTCCCTCCCAAGAACACTAGCAGAGACACCACGTCCCCTTTAGGCATCCATACCACCCAGGGACAGACCTCACCTGGGGCTCCTATCACAGGCTCCCTGGTTACAGGACCAAATCCTCCCACGTCCTTTTTTCATTCTTTTAACACCCAACCTGCAGTCTTAGAGTTGGGAATCCAAAACAAAGCCCAGGCCACACCTATCAGATCACCGGGTACTGATGGATTTGGGCAAGCCTCCATCTTCCCTGTCTGCCAAATGGCTGAAGCAGCCTGCACCTCAGAGCACCAGCTTGCAATCAGAGGCCCCAGGGGAAGCCTGGCTTTCTCTTTGTCACTGCGGGACCCTAACAAAGCCTGGGGGCGGGGGGGCTGTAGGCTCTCACTGGGATGACCCCAAGCCTGCCAAGGCTCCTGCCCTTCTATCTGCCCTCACAAGTCTCCCAGTCCCTCTAAAGCCCAGGCTGAGGCCACCATGTGCTCCTCATTAAAGACCTCAAATGTCCCTCCCACTAGCCACAAAATCCTTCTTGGCACCCCCACCCCAAAGCATCCTTTCACATGCCTGCTCCTTTTGTCCCCAGGAGCAGCTTAAAGCCATTGAACTAAACTCCTGCGAGAAGCAGCTCACCGTCTCAACCTGGAGCAGTCTACAGGTTGTCCCCTTACTATGGCCCAAATCCCTTGTGTGTGGTCACCCAGAGTCCTCATCTGTGCCAAGAGCCAAGCTAAGCACAGCAAGTGGCCTGCAGAGGGGGATCAGCAAATGCGTTTTGTTCCAGTGACATCACGCTCCCTTGTAATGGCAATAACAATCACACACACGGTCCCAAGAAGGAGAGGTCCCTCATCTTCAACCCCAACTTACAGACGAGCAAACCGAGACATGGAGTGAAATGACTTCAAGGACACCAGAGAATGAATGCAGGAGCCAGGATAGCCTGGAGGTTGAGGGTGGGCCGGGGGATTACACAAAGCAGCCTCTCCAAGTTGCTTTCAACTGTGGCATTCTGAGAACTTAGATCCTTAAGCAGCTAGTCATAAAGAGATCTCCACATCCGGTAGGCCTCCCCCTCCCACCACCACCACCACCTGCCAAGCCTGAGAGGGGCTCTGGCCAGCCCACACAGGCTCACCTGCCTTAGGCCGGACAAGCCTGAGGAGGGAAACCAAGGCAGGGACCCAAAGCAGCTGTGTGCAGAGAGCCACAGGGTCCTGGGGCAGGAACGGAAGCAGGTGGTCCCAGGTCCTTGAAGATCCCAAGCCAGTCTTTCACCTCCCCTGTGATCCGTTCCAGGGCGGGGACCATAGCCCAGCGACACCTCCAGGGATCCAGGATGCGGCTCCCGGGCAGGAAGCAGCCCGCTGAGGCAGGCCCCGGGCGCTTCATAGCACGCGGCCTAAATGGGCAGCCTGGCCCTCGGGCAGATGGCCGTGACTGCGCTGGTGGGTCTTGAGCGAGCCCTCGCGCGCGAAGCTCTTGCCGCAGCGAGAGCAGAAGAAAGGCCGGCGCTCCCCGAAGACGCCGGGGCGGCGCGGGTGCGGCGCGGGCATACGAGCATGCGTGCGCTGGTGGTTGAGCAGAAAGCGCGGCTCGCGGAAGCAGCGGCCACACTGCGCGCACTGGTGCGGCTTCTCGCCGCTGTGGATGCGTTGGTGCGTGAGCAGGTTCTGCTTGAGGCTGAAGCAGCGGCCGCATTCGGGGCAGGGGAAGGGGCGCTCCCCGGTGTGCGTGCGCTGGTGCACCTCGAGGTTGTGCTTGACGCTGAAGGCCTTGCCGCACTCGGGGCACACGAAGGCGGCCGAGCGGCCTGCCCCAGCGTGCGCCTTTTGGTGCCGCACCAGGCTGGGCTGCTGGGAGAACGTCTGGCCGCACAGCGGACAGCGGTGGGACTGCTCCTCCGCGGGATGGTGGATGACCAGGCCTCGCTCGTCTCCTAGACCTTCCTCCCCGTCCCCCACAGGGGACCTGCCCCCGGAGGACGCCAACTCGGTCATGGGCACTTCCGGCTGCAATCACCAGCCCCTGGGGGAAACAAGCAGAGAGAAGGGTCAGTGAGTAGGAGCGGGAGAGTCAACCCAGCCCACAACCTCCAGCATTCTCCACCCTTGTAGTTTTGTCCAAGCCAAAGCTACCCTGCTGGGAACTGCTGCCCTTCTTTCTTGCTCTACCCCTGGATCAAAGTCCCCTTCGTTCCAAGCTCAAGTGCCACTCCCTCCTAGGAGCCTTCCCTGACCCCTCCCACCCCTTCTTGAGCCATGTGGCCCAACCCTGTGACCATCACTCATTACAAGCCATGAAGACCAGTCGCACCACCTGTCTCCCCAACCCACCCCCGGCAGAGCTGCCTTCTTTAACCCCAGCTCCGAGCTCTGTTCCTTCCAGACAAAGGGCATAGAATAAATGCTGATGGAGAATATTCAGAGGCTCCTAGTATTTTGTTAGCCTTCACTGAATTTGTCTTCTCTCTCCAGCCAGATCCTCAAGGAGAGGGCTAGGGCAGCACACCCCAAACCTGGAGTGAAGGGTAGGATCACCTGTGGTTTAAAGATAATTTCTGCAAAGCTTAAAACAAGAAACAAAGCCAAAACCTTATAAACTTGAAAGTGTCCTCGGTTAAACATTAAAGGCAGCAGCTCTTTGTTTTCAAAATGAGGAATGCATTTAAAAGCAGTGCAAATCACTGAACCAGAGTGTGGGCTCCCTGGGGTCCGGGAGCCTGGTTCCTTTGGTGTCCCTACACACAGACTGGCCCACTCTGGTTCTCAAAGAGCACTCCTTCCCTGGGGGAACCCAGGGCCCCCTGAAATGGCCTCCCAGTGTCCTCACAACAGCCCTGAGAGAAAGGGCAGAGCAGATGGCCCAGGAGTGCAGTGGAGGATGGCCCAAGTGCTTGGGCCCTGCACCCCATGGGAGACCAGGAGAAGCACCTGGCTCCTGGCTACGGATCAGCATGGTGCACCGGCCACAGCGCACCAGCCACAGCGGCCATTGCGGGGTGAACCAACAGAAAAAGGAAGATCTTTCTCTCTGTCTCTCTCTCTCTCACAGTCCACTCTGCCTATCAAAAAATAAAAATAAAAAAATAAAATAAAAAAAGGGCAGAGCAGGGGACCCACTGTATTAGATGAGGACACTGAGGCTCGGTGAGGTCAGCATATTTGCCCAAGGTCACATAGCAAATGACCAGAACTAAGCCCTGTCTCCTGACTCACCACCCAGTATACTGGCTGCTCACAACTAAACACCCCTCAACACACACACACACACACACACACACACACACTTGAGACCACCAGCAACAGCCATCACAGAGCCACCCACTCCCAAAGGACTGCTGCTCCTGGAGGGCCACCATCCCCATACCCCTTTAAGGGAAAGAGGCTCCTACGGGGCAGTGAGGAGGGCTCCAGCCATTCCCCCACCTTCACCCAGCCTGCCACCCAAGCAGGGAAGCTTGCTGGCTGTTCCACTGGACCTCCAGCCTCCTCCACACCTCCAACCTCAGTCAATCAATCTGCAGAGTGGGGGTCTCTGAGACACTCCCCTTTTCTTCTCCCCCTACCCTCAGGCCAGGGTGAAGCAGACAACCTAGGGAGGGAGGACAAGTACCACTGTAATAGATCCCCACCCACAAGTCTCCCTGAGCAGCCGCAATGATATTTGCAAAGACAGACCATCAAAGTCCCTTTGGCCAATCTTGGCCTGGCCCTGTCACTAGGCAGCTTCTCCATTCTCCCCAGCCGTACCCCTAAATGAGGACCCGCCCACTCGCCAAGAGGGTCCAAAGCCACAGCCTCCATCTCTCTACCAAGTTCCTCCATCCCGTGCCACACTCACACCCGCGGCTGCTGCCCCTGCTCCTCCTGGGTCCAGGGGTGGCTCTTTCCTCCAGAATCCGCGCTGCCCAACGCAAATACGGTACCTCTCCCGCAGCGACGCCCAAGCCCCTCTCCCCCCGCCCGCATAAAGACAACAGGCCTCCCGCAAGGTTATCCAAAAGCTGTATGAATTGAAAGGACGTCTGACCCCACCCCACCCGAACCCCGCGCACAACCCTGCCAACTCTCAGGGCAGGAGCGACCCTAGAGAAATATGGTAAAAACTGCATCGCAAACACACCCCCACGAAAATACGTAGACCGACACCCAACTGCGGCACCCCACCCCACCACGCTGCAAGACCTGGCTCCCTAAGGGAATAAATGCAACACCCCCACCCCCGCGCCAGCAGCATCCCACCCCGCCCCCGTCGCCCCCCCACCCCCACCCCAACACACACGGAAACACGAGACCCGGGATAAATACGTAATTAAGTGTCGGCGCTACCACTCCTGGAAAGGATCTGCGCGGAGCGGCAAATACGGTAGCGCGCCCGCAGTGACCCGCCCTCAAGGGTCCAGCACTGGCCTCGATAAATACGGTAACCTCCCGCCGCGGCCTCAGCCCCGGCCCGGATCGGGACTCACATGGCGCCGCCTCCGGAGCCCTCGTCGCCTCCGCAGCGCCTCAGCAGCCGACGTCGCCGCAGCCGCACAGCAGCCCCGTGAGGCTGGGAGGTCTAATTCGCCCACAACCTGGCTGGCGGAAAAAGGAGGACTGCCAAAGCCGCCGCGCCCGGCAGGGAAAGGAACCAAGCAGGTGCGGGTTTCGGGACCAGAACGCGCCGCGGGGCAAGTCACCCAAAGTCCGCACGTCTGCTGTTCAGGATTCCCCGAGGCCGTTAGCGCATCAGCCTCGTCGCCCTCTGCCTGGCCAGGCCCGTGAACTGCCCCCAGAGGCCAGGAGATAGGGTCGGGAGCTTTCGTTGCGGGAGATGAGGGGTGAGCGCAGAAGCTCCAGCAGCGGGGCGTCTCTGAGCATGGGTTTCATGGAAAGTGGGGGTGGGGAGGCGGAGGTGAGAGAAACAGCCAGTTTTGCTGAAGCCCACCTTCCTATATGACTCGGGTTACACCACCAGGGCGATCAAAAGGACGGAAGAGGTCAGATACCTACCGCCCCGCCTCCTCAGAATTGAGTCCATTATGGCCAAAGACACCCCATAAAAGAGGGCTTGTGACGTCGGAGATGCTGCTGATGAGGGCGGGGCCAAATTCTATTTTCCAGTTGCGATAACAATACCCCTTACCTATAGGTAACTTTGCCATATGTTACCTCGTGGGATGCTTCCTGTAACCATGTGCAGACTAGCTTGGCCAGGTATTATTATCCCATTTTATAGATAGGAAAGTGAAATAGAAACATAGAGTGGCCCAAGACTCAAAGTTCTTTTTTTTTTTTTTTTTTTTTTGGACAGGCAGAGTGAACAGTGAGAGAGCGAGAAGGGTCTTCCTTTGCCATTGGTTCACCCCCCAGTGGCTGCCACGGCCGGTGCACTGCAGCCGGTGCAGCGCACTGATCTGAAGGCAAGAGCTAGGTACTTATCCTGGTCTCCCATGGGGTGCAGGGCCCAAGCACTTGGGCCATCCTCCACTGCACTCTCCAGGCCACAGCAGAGAGCTGGCCTGGAAGAGGGGAAACTGGGACAGAATCTGGTGCCCAGACCGGGACTAGAACCCAGTGTGCCGGCGCCGCAGGCAGAGGATTAGCCTATTGAGCCACGGCGCCGGCCGACTCAAAGCTCTTAAGTGGCAGAGCCCAGTTGGAAAAGCAGGCCTGGTGGCTGGCACACTTCCACTGCACCACCCAGGGACAGGGACCCTGAGACACAAGCAGGGTTTCATGACAGCGATCACAAGGAACAACCCGAGCTTGACAGCTAAAGAAACTGAGGCCTGGGCGGGAAAGGGTTCTGAAAAGTTACAAAAGCCACAGGAACACCAAATAGCTCTTTGTCTGTGGCCCCTGGGTGCTGCCAAGTAAAGGGAGGCGTTAAGATTGCCCCAGGCCCAAACAGGGCTCCTCCCAGCAAGTGGCCGCTGTGGCTGCAGGGGAGGAGCTAACTGCTTGATGATGGGCTTTGGAAGACAAAGGCCCTTAGTGGAGCCTACCAGCAGAGCACGAGAACTGAGGAATTCCAGGTGGGGCTGGCCGCGAGGCAGCAAACCCAGCCCCTTACTCCTGACACCAGACCTGGAGGCCAGCAGACCCATCCTGGTTCACTCTTGGCCACCCAACCCTCACCCTTGCCCCTACCCTGTCCCATCAGCAATGCTCCTGTAGGGCCTCTCTGAGGTATACAGGACTTCATGAGTTGGACATTTCAAGGAGATTGGTATTTTAAATAGAAGCCAAAGAGAGGCCGGTGCTGTGGCACAGCGGGTTAAAGCCTGGGACCTGCAGCACCGGCATCCAATATGGGCGGAGGTTGAGTCCCAGCTGCTCCACTTCCAATCCAGCTCCCTGCTAATGCTCCTGGGAAAGCAGCAGAAGATGACCCAAGTCCTTGGGCCCTTGTACCCATGTGGGAGACCCAGAAGAAGCTCAGGGCTCCCAGGTTCCGCCTGGCCAAACCCAGGTTGTTGCAGCAATTTGGGGAGTGAACCAGTGCATCTCTCTCTCTCTCTCTAACTCTGCCTTTCAAATAAATAAAAAATAAATATTTTTTAATTAAAAATAGAAGCCAAAGAAATGAATCCACTAGGATATTTACACCAAAACCAAGTTGAAGTTCCCCTGTCATTGACAATAGGACCTCCTGACCACTAATGCCAAGTGATAACCCCCACCCCCGCCTCTGCTCATAAGACAGCTGCACCTTCCCACCCTCTAACTCCTGTGGCAGAGCAGAGAGTTTTCATCTTTCCTGCAGGCCACAAGAGAAATAGGGACACTGAGTGGAGACTCAGGTTTTCAAAAGCAAAATCAATAATATACCTGAGTGTCGCTCCCCCTCTTCGTGGAGGAACGACACAGAACCCTGCGTTGTTCTTTTGTCTGCTCGGCCCTTCCCGGGTTTGCTGCTGGTTCTTCCCAGGTTGGCTACCGACCCTTCCACCTCCGTGGAAGGGCAGTTCCCCCTGCCACTTTCCCCACTTCCGCGGGGGAGCGGCACACCGCCGGCCGGCTCTCTGGGGGCTGCACAGGTGTTCCTTCAGATAGATGTTCCTGGTGCATGTTGTCTCTCTCCTCCTTTATAGTCCTCTTCCACCAATCCCAACTCCGCCACCCACACGCCGAGCACGCCTCTCTCCTCCAATCAGGAGCAGGTCCTGCTGTTTATTGGTTGAACTGGAGGCAGCTGTGTAGAAGCTGTTTCCTCCTCTCCCAGCGCCATATTGTAGGAGAGCAGATGCATAGAATAAGTCTTAATTCCAGTAACAGTCCAGTCCGAGTTGCTCCCAGTTGCTTCCCACACCTGAGGACATCATCCGTATATTTAGCAGCATTTTCTAGGTAAGCTGGGCCAAAATAGAAAGGGAATGAACACAGCCAGCTGATAGAGGTGAGAGGCAGACAATATCACCTGGAACTCTCCCCGAGTCTTGGTGGGAATCCCTGAGGCTCCCAGGGGCCTCTGTTCTCAGCTCCGCTCTGCCGTATGAGTCACTTCCCTTCTCTGGTTTCAGATAGACACTCACCCTCGCATGTCCCCTTGTCCCCCACCCCCATTCTCCTGTGCTGTGGTGAACACAACAGAACGATGATGTGGAGATTCTCTGTAAACCCAGCCATGCTTCTTTCTCCAGGCCAGGAAGGGCTGCCGTGTGTCCCCCACCACCCTTGGAGGCCTGTGCGGCAGCTGAATTCCAGACCATCACCAAGGCCTGGGCTGCCCATAGCAGGGCATCCTGGAGAACAGCCAGCCGCAGAGCTGCTAGAGAATAGCGCAGCCAAGCCCTGTCCAGGGCTCTGCACTGTTTTCATCCCGGGGCACCCCAGATGGAAAGATCACCCTTGGGCCTCCCTGAGGCAGCTCCAGCCCACCATGCTTGCCATCCCCCAGCCTCTCCTGCACAGGGCTGCATCCCCAGGGCTTCTGCACTCAACTGAGCCACCGCTTCTCCCACCATCACCCATAAACTCTTCCCACCCTCAAGGATGGCACAGTGGCCCCTGATCTCTCTCCAGAGCAGCCTGCACTGACCTCCAATTTGAAATGTAGCACACTATTGGAAAATCTTCAGGTGGTAAGCCTCCCAGGGAGGGACTGTGTTTTTAGCGTCTCTGTATCCCAAACGTCCAGCATGAGATACTGGTCTGCAGCAAGTGTCTGTGGAGTGAGTGAATGCTCTTCGACAAGCTGCGTATATCCGAGAGCACCAGCAGCTATGGGGCAAAAAGAAGGTCCCAAGGCCGGCAGGTTGCAGGCTGAGGAGTAGCAAGACATGAGGAGAAGCAGGCCAAGCTATAGCCCCAGCCACAACTTTGAGGGCTGGGAGAGCCTGCAGAGGATCTGGGGCTCTGGGTGTGAGGTCTCATCTGCTCCAAAGTTCTCTTTCCTCAGATTTAAATCCCAGGATGTGATTAGCCAAGCCTTTTAACCTGCAGAGGCCTGCTCGGCACTGGGGATGGTACATTCTTTACAGGGATTGAGATAAACAGCAGGAAACCCTTCTCTTTTTATAGGCACAAGTGTTCTGCGATTATCTATACATGGAGTTTATTAAAACAGTGATAAAAGTGATCATTTACTGAGTGCTAGCTGTGTACCAGGAACTCTACGACATCCTTTTCAGAGGTAAGGTGTCCAAGTCCCATGGTTTAAATGGCAGAGCCAGAATTCAACCCCAGATATATGTGATTCTGTCTGCTACTCCCAAAAATAAAAAATCAAGATCTTTCTAGATTTGGGCCAAGGAGGTGGTGAGGGTGGGGAAGGAACATGAAGGGAAGGAGACAGCGCTTCTAGGCTAACAGGAGCGTCATTCCCAGAGCTGTACATGTGGCTATTTAAACTGCTGCTAACATTCAGCTCTTCTGCCACACCAGCCACATTCTAATTGTTCAGGGGCCACATGTGGCTTAGTGGCTATGATCCTGGACAGTGCAGATAGAGAACATTTTCTTCATGTTCTCTTGCACAAAGCTGATGTATATGGCACCTTGCCTCAAACCTGAGGATCATGCTCTTTTTAGCCTAAGGTATAACATAAGGGATGCCATTCATTTTTGTCTTCGTGCCCCTGTCGTGATCCAGCAAGAGCAGTGATATATGAGAACATACGATTTCTGGCCCCAACATTCTTCCTTCTGCAAAAGGTCAAAGATGTCTGTTTGCCAAACTGAGCCCATCTAAAAAATAATAAAATACTACAGAAGCATCCCCTACTCTTGCCAGTTGCTCTCTCCCAAGTCCCTGCTGGGCCTGCTGTCTCCCCCAGTCAGCGCATCTGCACCTGCTGAGCAGCCCGCTGTCCTTAGGACCGCTCTGCATGGCAGCTGAGCCCAGCAACTCCTGAGGCTGGGCAATGGCACATGAAATTCTCCCAAGGAGGCCAGCAGCCTTGCCAACTGACTTGAAACTCCTGCTTCTTGCCAAGGGACGATCATTTACTGAGCATCTCAGTCATTTTCATAGTCGCTCCAGGAACCCCAGCTCCACCAGGTACATCTGACCTGGCGCAAGCTTGGCCTCGGGCCCCGACTGCAGACCTTCACTTACCTGGCTGTGAACTGCACATAAATCCTTTCAGAGCTTGATTTATTTACTCAACATTGTTGTTCTTGTTCTTGCTGCCTCTGCAGCCTCTTATTCTCAGCATGCTCCCAATTTTGAATTGTAGGCCACCAGGGTAAGTGGTTGCTGCCTTTGTCTTTGATTTTATGACATGCCACTTCCTAAATATTCTATGATCCAATATTATTTTAAAATGAGAGTGCATGAAAATCAAAGTTGACAAGGCCATACTACCCTTGGAGAAACCTGTTAACTGTGACCATGAAAGTGGCTTAGGCTATCAAGGGACCCAGGAGCCACTGTCGAGTTGCAATATGACCTGATGGAGAAGCCACTGTCCCAGTCCCCTTTCCTGGGTGTCCATCGGCAATATCATTGCCCTGTGTATGTCACTGATGCATGGAGAAATTAAATGATAAAGAACAATGAAGTTTTGCTGACAGCGTGGGAGCT